TGGGGGACGGGGGTGAAGCTGTCTAAAAACCTGAATGGTTATTTACAGTTATCAAATATTATCAGTGCTATAATAATTGTACCGATGATAGCTGTTATATAAAAAACATATTATTTTGGTGAATTTGTACAACAAACTGGACAGATTGGAGTGTAAAAACCTTCACATGAACTACCCATAGAACAGATGATGACACTGATTTACTAGTAGAGAATGTTCACTTTCAAAATTAAGATTCCCTTTCATTCATGTCTAAGCAAAAAACAGTTTACTTTATTTTTTCTTGCACATGATTCTTATAAGGTCCCCTCACAAACCCCCACATCCTCCTGGGGACAAGGTACCCACATCACCACAACCACACAAGGCAACCTGTCTTTCAACATTGGAAGGGTACCCTGCAATGAGGGGCAGCAAAGGCTTCCCCCTCTGCAAGGCACCCTGTCACATGTTGAGGGGGCAAGGGCCTCTTCCCCACATCCAGTCACCTGAACCATTGAATCACATGCAAATGCACCAGCAAAGTCAAATGATTTTTTTTTCTTATTTCCTTTAAACTTTCCTAACACTGTCTATGTGTTTAGGCTTTATTAGTTGGCATCAAAAAAGAAGACAATTTCTAACATTATAGTGTTTGTAGCTAAAAGTGAATACAAGCAAAAACAATCTGCAATAGACTGTTGCTGTCAAAATAACCTTAAAATTACAGTAAACTCAGGAGTTAAATCTTAAAAATGCCTTCAAGTACTTTAACTATTAACAAAAATGTATCTTATTTGTGTATCACTCAGTTGTAGATCATCAAATCATCGCTATATTCATGTTGACACTTTCCTTCCTTCTGAAGGGTGGCTACTTTTGTTCTCCATGATGCACTCCATCCATGGAGAGGTGGCTACTTTACAACACACACAGGGGACCATGGGGAACAAAAGTAGCCACCCTCCAGAAGGAAGGATAGTGTCAGCATGAAGTCAGAGATGATTTGAGGATCTACAGCTGAGTGATACACAAATAAGATACATTTGTGTTAATAGTTATGGTACTTGAATGTATTTTTAAAATGTAACTCCTGGGTTTAGTCTCACTTTAAAGGAAACCTATACTGTAAACAAAATGATTAAGCTAAAATACTACCTGTTTGATAGTAGGCCCTGCAAGGTACCTTTTGTCTTACAGTAAATATTCTGATAGAACCACCAGAGCCCCCCCCCCAAAAAAAATAAAAAATAAAAACAAAACTCCTATGCAAATACCAAGATGGTATTTGCATAGACTTAGGCATGCCCCCTTTCCTCATATGGCAGCGCTTGGTGTTGATTAAAGGGTGCTTAGGCACTGAGCAATGTATTGTGTTACAGCAGAGGGGAGCTAGTATGTACATACATTTCACATATATTAATATCTCTTTAACACTTTGCAAACTGAAAAATTTAGTTAGTAGCTTAATATATATAT